CACAGGTGTGCTGCAAAGATGGGCGGGCTTTGAAATGAGGTACTAGATGCTAGTAACAACGTCTCCTCTCCTCTCCTCTCTTCCCCTCCCCTCCCCTCCCCTCCTCTCCTCTCCTCTCCTCTCCTCTCCTCTGGAATTGGGTCCATGATAATTGTTTCTTCACATTGCCAAATCCCCTCTGAGGGACAGAATACCCTCTTGTTGAGAACCATTCTTATAGGGAGAAGAGGTTACTGTCGATGAGAAAAGCAGTAGACGTGGTCGTGAGTGTGTTCCCTGGACCTGTCAGGAAGTGGGTTGAGGATAGGGCTGGCAGGGAGGCAGAGGGCTGACTAGCAAGTTGGTGGAAAGAGGTGGCTTCCAAGATGTGCCACATGGAGTCTCTCTCAAAAGTGTCCAGAAATGGGGTGTTGGATCAACAGTAATCTAGCTGAGAGGAATTACTAAGAGGCAGAAGAAGGTGGGACAGGAGGAAGGTAAAAGGAAACAGAGGCGCGATCTAGGGAGCAAAGCTATATGGATAAAGGTATAAACATAGATGTGCACATATGTAAATAATTCATAAAATAAAGGTATTTGACTATGTCTATATATTTATATGGCAATATACAGAGGTACTCGATGGACTTCTAGCCTCTGCTCAAGCCCTCCCACAATAAGAGAACACTTTGTTCTAACAATCTGGCATTCTGTGAAGCACAGAAGCTGAAGACAAATGGGAGCACAAGCAAATGTGGGGAAGAAAGCTGATGGTGCCCCGCTATCAAAAGACAGAGTGTCTGGGGTCCTAAAGGCTTGATGTTAAACACGTGGCCATCTAGCAGAGAAGCCATGAGCTCACACGGAAGAAGCACACCAGCCTGTGCGATCATGAGGTGCCGATATGATCAGGTAACACGCCTCAGAAGACCCCAAACAAACAATCAAGCATATTGCTGAGAATGAGGGGGGTTGGAGCAGAGACCCCCAAACCCAGCTGTAGACACTGGGATATCCCCTCACAGAAGGGTCACAAAGAAGGGATGAGTCAACCAGGGTGAAGTATAGCACCGAAAAATGCACAATATTCCTCTGGTTCTTTGAGGTTTCCTCATCCCCCACTATCATGACCCCAATCCTGCCTCTCTGTTCTGGCTAGACCGGATCATGTACACTGGTACAGAGAAGAGCTCAGGACACACGGGATCCAGGTCAGATAAACTCCTCAGGAACAGAAGTGAGAGTAGTGATACCAGGAGGATAGGGTCAAGGTGGGGGAAGGAGGGGAGGAGGGGGCTCCGATCACAATGATTGAAACATTACCTACCCTAGGGGAAAGGACAACAGAAACCATGAGTGAAGGGAGAGAGTGGTTGGTGTAAGATATGAAAATAATGATAATTTATGATTTATCAATGAGCCATGAGGGGGGAAGGGGGGGAAGGAGGTAATAAAGAAGAGCTGATACCAAGGGCTCAAATAAAAAGTAAATGTTTAGAAAATAATGATGGTAACATATGTACAAATATGCTTGATACAATTGATGTGTGGAATGTTATAAAAGCTGTAAGAGCCTCCAGTAAAATGATCTTTAAAAAAAGTGTCCAGGGAGCTCACTTCCCATGGAACCCCATAACTTCAGTAAAAACATTATGAAATGCCATTCAGGCCTGGATTACTTGTGGAAAAGGGGAAAGAGTAGAATTCGCCAGGGAGCTCTGAGTGAAGTAGAACTGAGGTCAGGACGACTCAGGAGTCAAACAGAGAGACCCAGGAAGAGGAGAGGCACAGGGGTCAGGGGTTAGATGGACTTCCCGGACCCTAGTGTTGTTTGCTTCTGGTCACATTGCACGTAAATCTCTAACGGCACAAAGCAATGAGAATTAGGTGCATCATTAAAATCAGTTGTACTTTTTGTTGTTGTTTTAAAACAAGTTATTCTTTAGAATGTCCCATGAGTCTATTTGAGATGAATAACAATCCTCTGGCTAATCCTGCTGAGGAGAGAATCCAAATAGCCCCAGAGACATTGAGACTATTGTACAGCCTTGGCCAACTTACTTCTTCGGTCTCAGTTTCTTCAACTTCAAATTGGAGTTCATAATTCCCTCTTGCTGAGTTGTTGTGAGAATAAATAAAACATAAGAAAGGCTTGTCAGGTAGTAGGTGTTCTATCTATCTATCTATCTATCTATCTATCTATCTATCTATCTATCTATCTATCATCATCAATCATCTATCTATCATCAATCATCCATCTATTAATTACAAATCCAGACACTAGATGGGCGTGAAAGGATAAAAGCATCACTTTGGCTGATCAAACAAGGAGCAAGCCAGGACTAGAGTAGCCAGGGAGAGGTCTTGAAAAAATGGGATTGTAGGTTCATATGTATTCACCAGGAAGTAAATTGAGGGGACTATAACAGAGTTCTGTGGCATGGTGATGAAAATGCTTTTGGGTGGGTTATGTTTCTTAACCAGGAGATGGTTTGTAGTTCCTCTGACATTTAAATGTCTTCTGAGTAGCTTTCTTTCTCTATTGATTTAAGTTATTATTTTGTTCAGAATAGTCGGAGAAATGCAGGTATGATGTTATCCCTCCTGAGGTGCAGCTGTTACTGACATTTTAATTTCAGAGAATCCTTCAGAGATACTTGTTTAAGAAATCTTGGAATTGCACCTGATCTGACCCCGCCACACTGAGGCAAAGCACTGGGGGAGTGCAGCAGAACAGTAGGGGAGGGGAGTAGCAAGATCCCCAGGGAATGATGAGGGTGGACATTGGAGACAGGGCATGGTGCCCCAACAGGCTAGACTGGAAAACA